AGATCTTTGACTTATGATTATGGCTTTTTTCAGGATGCCCGTAAAGTGGCTGCTGATACCACACTAATGCAGGTATGATTTTGTATTTTCTCAAACACCAATCAAATTCATACAGTCATTTTAATCAAGCACTTTCTTGTTCTTGTAAATAGGTGGCTTCCAATGTTGAAGCTGTCGGACGAATTCAGATGCGCACTCGTAGAACACTTCGTGGCCATTTAGCAAAAATCTACGCCTTGCATTGGGCCACAGACTCCAGGTAAGGAAGGCTAATGCCTGTACCCCTCATGCCTGTATATTTAAAATATTAGTAGTTAGCCTAAATATTTTGCAGTTAGCCTTATGAGTGAAGCGATGCCTAATGCTTGCAACATCCTTTTGGAATAGCAATACAGACAGTCGTCCACTTCAATGTGATGTGATAAATTGTTAAACTATACTTATACAATCTGTCTTGTTATAGAAACTTAGTTAGTGCTTCCCAAGATGGTAAACTTATCGTTTGGGATTCCTACACAACCAATAAGGTAAAAAACGTGTTTAGTTTTCACTGGTTTCACCAAAGCAAATTATAATTTTGTGGCCATGTTTCATTTAGGTCCATGCTATCCCGTTAAGATCAAGTTGGGTTATGACTTGTGCATATGCCCCGTCAGGCAACTTTGTTGCATGTGGTAAGTCAGTGCAAAATGTTGTAGAGGTTTTACAATAATATGTAATGGATCTAATGTCTGGTACATTTTTGTGTGGATGCTAAGATAGATAGATAGATAGATAAACTTTATTTAAACATGCTGACCCCGTCAACTGAAGCTGATTTCCACGAGGGGCGTGCGAAAAGTATACAGAAAAGAATTTCTATGTTTTCAGTTAGCTATCAATCAAGCGATTTTCTTTCGAAAGGAAGAAAAGGATTTGCTCTCGCTTATTTCTTTAGGAATAAAATTCCAAAGGTGTGCTCTGTCATACACAAAACTTAATTCATATTATTAATATGCGGTTGTGGTAAACAAAGAAAAATATATATTGATGTGTAACTTTCTTTTTAGGTGGTTTGGATAATATATGCTCAATTTACAGTCTAAAAACTAGAGAAGGAAATGTTAAAGTTAGTCGTGAGCTGCCTGGTCACACTGGTGAGTGGTAGTTGACATTCATACCAAAATATCAAGTGAAACCGTTCATGCTAACCATTCGGGAATTGATATGAAAAGTAGAAATCTTATGCGAAAAATAATATGTATTATTTCTTTTGGTTAGGTTATCTTCCGTGTTGTAGGTTTTTAGATGATTCACAAATTATCACCTGCTCTGGAGATATGACATGGTATGTGAATACAGAAAATTGACTCCTTTTTAGTGCAAAGTTGCTTTGCACTATTGTTATGAGAAAAATTCAATCCAGTGACTGATCAACGGATAGATTGATCAATCTATTGATAGAGTAAACAATCTGGGGGGAGCTTGCAAATTATTTTTATTGGGTTTTTTGGAGCTTCGTGCGACATTCGGCCAACTAATCGTTCATAGCTGTTTGTAGATTATAAAAATCTATATTTATATTCATGATGGTACATGTTCATACTTATTTTATCCAATATTTAGAGAAGTTATTATATGATTGGCTCCTCCGCAACATAAACACACACGAATAAATACACATGCTCTCATATAATATAATTTTACAATAGCGGACATGAACGAGCGGTGACTATTGAGCGGCAGTGTTCGGTGGTGTGAAATTGTGTAGACTAGAGTGTATTACAACTGAGGTTGATAGTATTGTAGCACAGTGGTTTATCTGTCAAAGATATGGAGCGATGTATACATGAATAAGTGCCAGTGGATAGTTTTGATATAAAAATTAAAATTATAAGTCAGCAGCTGATTTATATCAACTAGCTTATTCTTGTAATATTGCCATAGAGCTAGGTTTACATAGCCCAATAAATAGTAAATAATAATAAAATTTAAATTTTGCTCCGGAGGCATTACATGCCGAGATTGACCTGGTAAATAGCGGCGATACTGGTGAGAGCCAGTGGCACTGTGGCAGTGAACTATATAATAAATGTTTGTAATGATCTAGTGTCTGTAGTGAAGTATATTATTTTTAGCTTCAGTAATCTATAGTCCGTAATGTCAGTTTGTATTGTTTCCGAGACGTTTTATATAAATCAGTCATTCCAAGCTTTTGTCAAACTATTGGTATTTCTCACTTATGGCATTTTATTGATAAACTGTAAAATATTATATTTAATGAGAAATATTTAGATGTCGGCCATGGTTCTGATCACATAGACAGCAATTTCTGTAGCAGGTGGCCAGCACGCATCGACTTGAACCCGTCCTGTTTTCTCATTGGCTTTCTAAATTTGGAAATGATTTTGAATGTCGGGTGACAACAATTTCTTGCAAGTTGTTTATTTTTGTTTCATTTCAATTTTCGAAGGCAGTTTGTTTTGTACTAAATGTACAACGGAAAATGGGTAGAAAAAAATTGAATTGAAAGCAAAGAAAAAAGATCTGGATTAAAACACCATTCAAGGAATTAAGCCATGGAAAATTATCCACGCGAAAACAACAAAGTCATGGCTTGTAATATATATTAATTAACTGATAGATGCATCAATCTTATAATGAAAAGGTTCAAATGTTCAGACGTCTTGACAAACAATAGCAGTTTACGATTCCTCAATACTCGGCCTCGGGGATTATTGAATGCGCAGGAAATTTCATGTCTTTGTAATTTTCTAATAAAGTAAATTATACATTTTTGTCTGATTTAAAGAAACATTTCCACTGTTATTGTAGTGACCTTTAATAGTATGCCATGGAGCTATTTCATACATTATGCAAATCAAAAGAATTAAGTCTTAACATTTGTCAAATCAACTTTGCACTATCCTTGGGATCTCTGAGTTGCTTATAATTTACTAAAAAAAAATGGCAAAAAGCTACGTGAAAAATACAAGCAGAACTTAAACGTTTGCGAAGCCCATTGTGTGTAGGTATTCTTAACTTTTGTTAAAATGCTTGTGTCTCTTTGTTTTTAGTTGTTTGTGGGACATTGACACTGGCCAACAAACCACCACATTCCATGGTCACACTGGTGATGTGATGTTCCTGTCTCTAGCTCCTGATGGACGTTCATTTGTGTCGGGTGCATGCGATGCTTCCGCAAAGGTATGTCTTCCTATTGGTTGAACTGTTAGTTATTAAAAGACATAATTAAATCCTTTATGTTTTGTATTTTTAGATCTGGGACATACGTGATGGTATGTGCAAACAAACGTTTACGGGACATGAATCGGATATCAATGCTGTAGCGGTGAGTAGTGTGGGACTGTGGGTTTCCCTTGGCTTGATATGTTAAAATATCAAATTGCATTGCTAAATGCCTTGTATTCATTAAATGTCTACTTTGTAATGTTTAGTATTTCCCGAATGGCAATGCATTTGCAACTGGCTCAGATGATGCCACTTGTCGTTTGTTTGATATCAGAGCAGATCAGGTATGAATCTACTATGAATCTATTTCATTTTTGTTCTCACTGAATTGAAATTGTAGTAATTATACAGTAATTTTGTCAATAAAATAGATAGTTCTACAGCTTAACTGTTATGATATGCTCTTGAATTTAGAAACTTAGCATTTGGAATTTTTGCGCATCTCACTTGATAGAATTAACACTTCAACTATCTACATCAGACCCCATAGTTGACATACAGTACTGTTGGATATAAGTAATAATAGTCTTTCTCTTTTAAATTTCAGGAAGTAATCGTTTACTCGCATGATAATATCATTTGCGGTATCACATCAGTAGCCTTTTCAAAGAGCGGCCGCTTACTCCTTGCGGGTTATGATGACTTCAACTGTAATGTATGGGATACATTGAAGGGTGAGCGTGCTGGCGTTCTAGCCGGCCACGACAATCGTGTTAGCAACTTGGGTATCACTGAAGATGGAATGGCTGTATGTACAGGTAGCTGGGACAGTTTCCTCAAGATCTGGAATTAAACACATAGGGCTGCGAGGCTGAACTTTTGAGACTCCGCATATGAGTATATACATTTATTTTGTAAAATGTACATCAAAAAAACACTGATCTTATACCGCCTTAAATGCATTTTGGTAGTCAGTACATGGTGGTTATGATAAAGACAGCACAGCGAAAGGTGACAGGTCAATGTACATGATATTTAAAGAAATTTATAGGGTAGGCAATTTGTGTAAAATGAATGTTTGGAACCGATTTGTGAGTTGCACTGCCACATAGTTTACCTTGCGTGTAAATGTTGTACTGCTGTTTGTATTTGACCTCGTAGAACAGCCTTCCGCAGTATACGTTTAATCCAACCCCTTGAGTTTCTTGGCACTATGGAGTTCAATTATTGCTGAGATTTTTAATTATAAAAACTGTTAATATTCTGTGATAAGAATTAATTTAGCATGGTTAATTGTCAAGGCTATTGCTGATATCATCAGCACCTCATATTATTTAAAAATATTTTATAACCCCATTTGAAATTATCTCAAGTATGCTGTCCATAATTGTAACCTTTGCTGTAATGACTCGCCTGAAATGACTTGCCTCGAAAAATCTGGGTGTGGCGGGTTCTCGTAATAATGATAGTGGTGCGTAGCTAATTGTTGTAAAAATCCTGGGGCGTCCTCTACATGTCAACAACAGCACTTTAAGAAACATTGTATTAGTAATAGAATTTCATTGATAATTAATGTGAAAGAATTAGTTTAAGGTAGAGAATGGTGTGATTTATTGGTTAAAATGGTCACTCTGAGCTATTGAAATAGCTTTGGTACTGTAGTTGTGCTATCATATTGGAGATACCCAATCTTAGTAAATCTATCAGTAGTAAATAGCTTTGGTAGTTGTGCTATCATATTGGAGATACCCAATTTTAAAGTTGAAAACATCAGCTGATTGCAGTTTATGTTAATTTCTATACTTGATAAGATCTTATCACTTCGGTGTAATAGACTGACAAGGGCTCTTCCGAGTCGTCACTTGAGTATAATAGACTGACAAGGTCTACTGTTATAAAACTGGTTATAAAACAGGGCTTTGGGCCTAAATTGATGTACCAATAAAGCACACCATTAACTGAATTATGTGTTTGTATTTTGTTGCATGAAAATTAAATAAGCGTATGGCCGCAACAACAAAAATAACACTTCAGAATGCAAACACGTTAATTGGTAGTAGTTATGTAGGTTAGGAAATTATCAAAAATATGCTGTTATTTGAATATAAATGAAAAAAGATAATACTTAAAATAATTTTGTGTGTTCTTTTATTGTTTAAGACCAAGTACTTTTATTAATCCTTAGTCATTTTGGTAATAATGATACATAATACAGTATATGCAAGAACTTGTGGTTAAGTGTCCACTGGATTCTGTATCTCGATTAGAGCGCTGGGAACCGCTAGGGCAAGAGAATGACCAGAGGCTTGTTTTAGTTCATAGAGTCGAAGCAGGCCTGCGTAGCGTTCATAGATACCTAGCCTGCATGGCAGGCGGTTTTTAGGGACCGCTGGCGCGCCTAATACACGCCAGGTACACGCTCCGGCAGGGCGCTGTTTTTCCGGAAAGTTCGAATCATCATCTTGGCCACACGTCAATCGTTATCGTGATTGACACGTTTTGCTTTACTACTAAATGAAATCTTTTAGTAAACATTTTAGAGATTGTAATCCTTCAGTATTCTTTGGTAAAAATTCGTGTTTGATTGCATCTTGTGTAATAGAGATGCTAGCAGCGATTAAAGAAACTCTCTCGCGTACAAAACTCGCTAATTTCAAACATTGAATAACAAATTAGTGGGATTTTTAGACTATAACCTACTTGCCTTGTCAAGCCATGATGACACTATCGTTTTTGACGAAATCCGGTTTATCTGCATTAAGTTAATACTTTAATATTCAAACTGCTAATATATTGATCAACCTCGTGGTGTGTTTATTGTTACCACAGATTTTTATCAAACTTGGATGACGGCAAAATGAATTTGGTACTAAAATTTTAGTAAATTTCTCGATTACTAAATCGATGATGATGTGTTCGCAACAGGCTTGTAGCAAGCTTGTCAAGAAGTTGTAACAATGCTGTTATTTTATCAAGTTGCTACAAGGTTGCCACTCACAACTTGTTGACAAAACAAATTGAATTGCTCTGTTCAGCTTAACAACAACCTTGTAACAAGTTGTCAATAAGCTGGGAACAAGCAGTGCGAACACATCCTGTTGACAAGTTGTTGGAACAGCATTGCTACAAGTCTGCTGAGAGAGAGTGGGCACTGCCTGCCGAGATTAATTGTCTCGGGAATTTTTTTCCTGTCCACGAGTTGTCAACAAATCTGTTCACAAGCTGTCGACAAGTTGTGTTCGCACTACTTGTTCTCAGTTGTAATAAGTTGGGAACAAACTGTTAACAACCTGTAACAAGCTTGATGGCATATCAGAAGTGTTACAAGGTTGTTCTAACAAGTCTAATACAGTCTTGCTATAACAAGGATGTCACAAGGTTAACGACACAAGGTTGTATTAAAACAATATTGTTATATCATGACTGTATCGGACTTGTTGGAACAACCTTGCGACAAGTCTGATAGTATCAACAAGGTTGTTACAAGTTGCTAACAGCTTGTGACAACTTGTAGGACAAGTAGTGCGAACACGTACAACTTGTTGACTGCTTGGCTTGTTGGCAGATTTGCTACACACATAAAAAAGTTTGTCGACAAGCCGTCAACAAGTTGTCTTCGCACTGCTTGTCACAAGTTGTCAACAAGTTTGGAACAAGCTGTTAACAATTTGTAACAACCTTTATCAGGCTTGTTACAAGTTTGTTCCAACAAGTCCGATACAGTCGTGATATAGCAGTTTGTTACAACCTTGTGTCGTCAACTTTGTTAACACTCTTGTTTATCATGACTGTATCAGACTTGTTAGAACAACCTTGTGACAAGTCTGATAATGTCATCAAGCTTGTTACAACTGGGAACAAGCAGTGCGAAGACAACTTGTTGACAGCTTGTGAACAGATTTGTAACAACTTGTTTGCAGACCTGTAACAACTTGTGCGTTTTTACGTGTGTTTTGTTCGCACTGCTGTTCCCAGTTGTTGTAACAAGTTTGGAACAAGCTGTTAACAACTTGTGGCAAGCTTGATTGCATTATCAGACTTGTTACAGGGTTCTAACAAGTACGCACAGTCATGATATAACAAGAATGTTACAAATTTGACGACACAACGTTGTAACAATGTTGCTATATCATGACTGTATCGGACTTGTTAGAACAGCCTTGTAACAAGTCTGATAATATCAGCAAGGTTGTTACAAGATGTTAACAGCTTGTTCCAAACTTGTTGACAAGTGCGAACACAACTTTTGTTGACGGCTTGTTAGCAGACTTGCTACAAGATGTGTGAGATTTTTGCCTGTGTACAAGATGTGGGATTTTTAGGCGTGCAAGCGAATCATCCCGACTCCATAAGACACACATAGACTTGTAGCAATGCTGTTCCAACAACTTGTCAACAGGATGTGTTCGCACTGCTTGTTTCATGGCCAGCTTGTTGGCAAGTTGTCAACGACTTGTTGATAACTTGCTACAAGGTTGTTGAGCTCAACAGACTTGTTACAAGTTGTTCCAACAACTTCTTATCGTCCTGCAATTCAACAATTTGTCAATAAGTTGTGAGTGACAACCTTGTAGCAACTTGATAAAATAACAGCATTGTTACGACTTGTTGACAAGCTTGCTACAAGCCTGTTGCGAATATATCTCTTTGACAAGTTGTGACTTGTGAGATTTCACTGACAACAAGTCTGATAATATCAACAAGCTGTTAACAACTTGTAACAACCTTGTTGATATTATCAGACTTGTTGCAAGATTGTTCTAACAAGTCTGATACAGTCATGATTTAGCAATATTGTTACAACCTTGTGTCGTCAACATTCGCCTTGTGTCGTATTTAATACATTAAAACATTCTTGTTATATCATGACTGTATCAGACTTGTTAGAACAACCTTGTAAGGAGTCTGATAATGCCATCTAGTTTGTTACAAGTTGTCAACAACTTGTTCCAATCTTGTTCCAACAACTGGGAACAAGCAGTGCGAACACAACTTGTCGACAGCTTGTGAACAGATTTGTAACAACTTGTGCGTGTGGAGAGTGAAGTCAAGACCATGCGTGTATCATGTGTATAAAAAATCAGCTACGCTCCAGTGATTCTGCAAAAGGTCTATGAAGTTTTTCCGAGTGTATTTGGCAAGAATTGGCGTTTGAGTTAAAACGAGGGGTGCAAATATGCAATCATGACATGATAGAAAAGACATTGCAACATAAAACGTGAGAGAGCAAGTGAACAATAACTTGCAATATTTCTGTACAAGGAAAACAGTGTCTTTTAATAAAGAGTGGGAGTTGCATCATAGAGCACTCATCTGATGACAAAAACCGAGTTATTCATGTGATATATATTGCACCATGGCCATGATGGATCATCATGACGTAATTTGCAAAGGTATTTGGGTATTATATAACAAATTAAGTAAAGAAGCAACAGCCACTATCATGAAACGTGAATCTCTTGTGGTGTACATTTGCATATATAAAGAATATAAAACAAAGCGCTAAAATTAAACCGATTAAAATGGCAAGAAGTGAGAACGAGCTGGAAATATCGCCCATTATCAGCGAGTTTGAAAGCAACACTGTTGTCAATATGGCGTCTGATTCCAATCCTATCACCCTGACATTCAACAATTTACGAGTATTTATTGACGACAGAAAGATTCTTGATAATGTTAGCGGGTCTGTGAAGCCAGGAGAAGTTTTGGCTGTGATGGGGCCAAGCGGTAAGTATATAAAGAATAGATAATTGGTATTTCTTTATCCAACAAAGCTGTTGTCTTATGGTACCAGACCGTAGAGTAGAAAGGTCGGCCAAGAATGGGAAAATACGGCAAAGTAAAACGAACGCGGCTTGATTATTTAAAACAAAGCCCTACAGCGTAGGTTTATAAAACTGTTAAGTGTAGAAATGAGCTTATGGTGGGCTTGTATTTGGTGTTTCAACACATAGAATAATACATAAAGGCTACTACGCATAACGAGATGGATGCCTTGGGCTATTAAGTTAGTATAAAATAAGTTTGGTGTCAGTAACCTGAGCTAGCACTTTCTCCACATATTTTGATCCTAGAATTAACAGTACGTCTAGGAAGTCTAGACTGCCGTGCTAATATATGAGCACATTAGTGTAATAATAGTCTTAAGAACCCTAAACTAAATATCATTAAAATTATCTCATTCTTTGTGACTTGAAAATGTATTTAGTTTCATAATTGTGTTTCAATCTCTGTTATATCAATCAAGCAATCACAAAATGCATTCGTATAGGTTCACAGGAAAAAATTGAATGTAAAAATACCCTGGTTCCAGAGGCTCTTTGCGAGGTGAAATTAACAAGAGGCGAGAAGGAAGAGCCTCTGGTCAAATCGGTTGCAAATCCCACATCGAGGCATTGGGGGGTATTCAATACCGTAATACCGCAAGCAAATTTTGTCAATTACTGCAGTTTTTAGTCCAAAATTGCAAATACTGTGTACCGCAAGATTTCCAATATCGTAGTACCGCAATTTTTCAAGGAAAATACCAAAATACTGTAAGAAGAATAAGCTAATACCGCCATACCGTAAATCCCAATGTCCCCCCCTCCACATCCACACTTGATTTGGCTCAGAATTTGAATCTCATGTGATTGGCCGTTTGTAAAAATATGTCAAACCGGTTTGGGACATAAACATTACTGTAAGCTAATGGAAAATTTATTTCCTTGGTGGTGACCTAAACAGGATATCAATTTTTTACAACAAAGACAAGGCCATTAAACTGCAAGGGCACATGTTACATTTTATTTATCCAAACAGCAGGTTATTTATTCACACACATCATGATGCCTTTTATGCTCGTAGCCACACAGCTTCATGTAACCTTTGTTCCATTCTATGCTTACATTAAAGTAGCTGAATCTCTTCCCCCTGCTTGCTGAAGCTCATCATTCTAAACCCTGATTGTAGGTTCTGGTAAGACAACCTTACTTAACTTTCTCGCTGGACGCAGAGTTGGTGATTCAAAATCCGGGGAGGTTTTGCTAAATGGTCGTCATGTGAATAAAAAACTCAAGAGAAAAATATGTTACGTTTTACAAGAAGATCTTTTCTTTGATAACTTGACATTGAGAGAGACGTTGACTGTAAGTGGTTGCATTTTAATTATCTATGACATCACTGTTGAGATGTTGCACAGGGCAAAACTTTCCTAGCCCCCCCCCTCCCCCCTCCCCGAGGAGGATGGGGTCTGGAACTCCCCTTTTTTAAAAATTATTTTAAAACTTGAGGAGAAACTGGGGGGGGGGCTAACCTCTTAATGTTTTGATCTATGACATAAAATATACTAAATCTGTACTGCCTTTTGGGCGTGACCATGCCCCTGGATGAACAATTAAATCCCCCCCCCCCCAACTCATTTGGAGCTGGCTATGCCCCTGATGTCTTTACGATTATTACGAATGTTACATGCTCATTTTTTTGCATTTTTTATTTTACTTTTCAGTATTCAGCGCTACTAAGATTGCCAGATAAAATGCCGAAAGCAGAGAAGTTAAAAAAGGTGCAATATTTCATCTATTATGTAATAGTTAAGAGTTATTTTGTTCTTTCATTAATTATGGCTTATGATCCAAAGTCAATAAAATCTGAATTTATCCTTGATAGGTTGAAGAAATTATTGAAATTTTGGATTTGAAAAAGTGTGCTGATACCAGTAAGAATTCATTTCAACTTTGGTTATTATAAATTAGATTATAATAATTGCAAAACAATAATTGATTTGTTGGTAGCAATTTTGTGATGATTTGAACCTTTTTAATTTCTTCATTTCTTTTCAGAAATGGGCAACTCGCTTAAAAGAGGTCTCTCTGGAGGTAAAGTTCTGTGTTAACTTAATCCAACCCTAATCACTATGATGTCATTATGGAAATTAACCACAATTCAATGTTGTTAACACTCTATGTCCACTGGGGCCTATCTGTCTGTTTGTTTGCCTGTCTATTTGTCAGATCTCCATCCTTTTTCAAATCAAATGCCAAAACTCCGTTTTCAAATGCCAAAACTCCGTTTTCAAATGCCAGAACTCCGTTTTCAAATGCCAGAACTCCGTTTTCAAATGCCAGAACTCCCTTTTCAAATGCCAAACTCCCTTTTCAAGTACCAAACTCCGTTTTCAAATGCCAGAACTCCGTTTTCAAAAGCCATAACTCCGTTTTCAAATGCCAAAACTCCGTTTTCAAATGCCAGAGAAAGCCACAATTACTGCATTTTCAAACGCCAGAACTGCATCCACTTGTCTGTTTGACTGTCTGTTTCTTTGCCTGTCTCTGTTCACCTATCTGTCTGTTTGTTTGTTTGTTTGACTGTCTATGTCCACCTATCTGTCTGTTTGTTTGCCTACCTGTTTGTATTTCCACCTATCTGTCTGTTTGTTTGACTGTGGTGTCTGTTTATTTGCCTGACTATTTGTCAGATCTCCGTTTTCAAAAGCCAGAACTCCTTTTCCAAATGCCAAAACTCTGTTTTCAAATGCCAGAACTCCCTTTTCAAATGACAAAACTCCGTTTTCAAATGCCAGAACTCCCTTTTTAAAAGCCAGAACTCAGTTTTCAAATACCAGAACTCCCTCTCCCTTTTCAAATGGTAGAACTACCTTTTCGGCTTGATATATGAAAATTTTCGACCAATTAGGTGTGAGCAAATTAGTGGACACTCAATTTTGACAATATGAAACATAACTCAAAAACATTTCTTCGGTGCCTTGTCCCCAGTTGCAATTTGCAAGCTTGGACCACGCAGGGCTAACTGAAAATGTTTTTGCCTACCTGCAAAAAAACCCTAAATATACAGGCATGTATATTTATGAGGTTAATGAGGTTTTGGAAATTAAGTGTTTCCATATTTTTTTTTACTTTTTATTTGTATCTCAGAAGAACATTTAGAACTAGACTAAGCTTTGCTTTTATTTTTCTATCAGGTGAAAAGAAAAGGGCAAATATTGGCTGTGAACTAATCACGAATCCCTCGCTCCTATTTCTTGATGTAAGAGAAGTAGATTATCAAGACTTTATCCATTCTAGCTGCTATTCAATGGCTAAACTGTCAAACGTTTTGGTTATAGCTTACAACATGAAAGTAATAAAATAATTGAAAATGAGGATAATGTCCCCCAGTCTTTTTGCTGAGATAAATATTCCTGTTAGAATATTCAAAAACCTAGAATCCTGCTTTCTTTCCAGCTCTGAACTTAATCGTTGACAAAATATATCTCAAATGCGTGGTGCTGACAACTCTATTATCATAGTTTTCATTGATAGTGAGCTGTCTTCGTTATTGATATTGCTTCCTAAAAGGATTGAAAAACGTCAGCGATCTAGTCTCTTTATTAAATTAATGTAGTGAGTCACATTGCGCCCTGATGCGCCCTACTTTATTATTTTACTCTGTCTAACGCCATATGATTTTACTCGTCAAGGGGAGAGTGCTGGCGCTTAATGGGTTAATGTCTGGAGGGTTCCATTGTGGATAATTTTTAGTAATAGTTTAAAGTTGTCTTCGTTCTTGATTTCACTACAGTACCTTCTACGTAATCTTGTAGTTTTTTTAATATCAAACTAAACGTTGTTGTCTCAATTCTCCTCAATCCTTTCCTTCTATAGGAACCAACATCAGGTCTTGATTCAAGCAATGCATATAATCTTGTCAAAACGTTGGAAGCTTTTGCTGAAGATGAAGCAAAGACAATCGTAATGACCATTCACCAACCTTCAAGCCAGATCTTTCATTTGTTTGATAAATTATTGTTACTGGTAAATGGCAAGGTAAGTTCATGAGAATAAAAATCTAAAAGGCCAATTTCCACTCTCAAGGAAATTTTCCGCAGAAAGAAAATTTTGTAAAATGTGATTTACCGACACAAATTTTCCGTGGGGAAAAAATTTTGAAGTTAAAATTTTCAACTTTTAACAATGATATTTTCGGAAAACTTTCTGTCCTTGGAACCTAACCTAAAAGTGAGGAATTTTGTTTGCATCTAGGTTGCATATTATGGTAATTCCTCAGATGTTCTGAACTTCTTTGAAAGAATTGGCTTTCCTTGCGAGGAGCATTATAATCCTGCTGACTATATATGTAAGTTTAGAAAATCATTCTTTCTGATGGCGACTTTGAAAATAATGTGGTCATATAGTCTCTCCGAATCGTCTTGTTTAAATCATATATTGAATTCTTAAGTTGATCTTTTTTCTTCGAAATTTTACATTCGTTTTTTTTTCTTCTTTATTCACGTAGTGGAAGTTCTGTCAAGAGGTGCTGAAGTAGAAGAAAAAATTGTGTCTGCTTGCCAAGAATGGTAAGTTATGAGTCAGTGTATGTCTTTATGATTTGATTACAATAAGCTAAACCATAGTCATATATAGGGGTGCACCGGATTTCAAATCCGGCCGGATTTAACGAATTTTCCGGCATCCGGCTTCCGGCCGGATTTGGAGAAAATCCGGCCGGATTTAAATTTCTGTTTTCACCTTAACAAGTTCACCAAGAATGGGATAAACCATCAATTTGGCAGCTTTAAAGTTTAAAAAAAACACTTATATTATTATAAAATATTAAGTTATTAACAAAATGATGTTTAAAAAGATGTTTAAATGATGTTTAAGTTCTGAGCGTTACGAGAAAACGTCATCCTCTTGTTGCTGAATACATTGTCAACGGTAAAACTTTGCAGCATGTTTCCTCGCAGAAAGACCTCGGAGTGACGGTTTGTTCAGATCTCAGATGGAACACTCATATTTACGAGCAAATTACGAAAGCCAACCGCCTACTTGGTATGCTCAAACGTTCGACTATCAAAGTCAAAAACGTAAATACCCGACGCTGTCTCTACCTTACACTTGTGAGATCCCATCTTGCTTATGCCTCACAAGCGTGGTGTCCACAGACTATCACCATGTGTATGGAGCTCGAACGCATACAACGTAGAGCGACCAAATTCGTACTGTCTTTACCATTCCAAACGGACATGCCATACAAAACGAGACTCGCTGCGTTGAATATGCTACCTCTCTGTTACTGGCACGAATATCTTGATATCCTGTTCCTCTTCAAATGCAAATATGGCTTGGTTAAAACTGATATCCTACCCGAAGAAGTGGACACTCTGACTTCAACCATAAATCTACGCTCTTCTAATAACTCTCTTGTAAAATATAACATTCCTAAAGTAAGAACGCTATGTCACCAGAACAGTTATCTTATACGAGTATCGCGTGTGTGGAACTGCCTACCAGACGAGCTACGGAAACCAGAACTATCATTGCAGAGCTTTATTAAATCACGTGTTATAAACTATTACCACTCCGCAACATTAACCGTGTTTGACCAGGAAATTCCGCAGACGTGGAAATCAGTTTGTCTGAAATGTCATAAAGCCAGGCAGCTTACTGCAACAATGAAATGTTGTTCTTAATTGAACTAGTTATTTTGGCAATTATTCAATGTAGTATACTTCATTTTATCCGATGTAGAGTTGGGTTTTTCGCCATTTTCGTTTTATTTAATTTATCGACGGATACAGAACCTATATATATTCTCGCATTTATTCTGTTTGACAATTTTGTCATTTTGTTTTCCCAAATTTCGAAATTTTTACGCTCTCTCTCTACTTCGGATGAAAAGGATTATACTATATTCTTGTTTGATATTTAAATTATAAGTTGTGAATTTTTGTATAATGATGTTTTGTAACAGGTCACTAACGTAATTGGCTCACGCTGTGTTAGTGTTCCTGAACCGTCTTCCTGTTTGTACATGTATATTTCTGTTGACGGCTGAAGTTAATAAATAAATAAATAAATAAAAAAGGTTTAAACACAATCAAAAATCTAAACTGACACTAACTAAAAATAGTAAAAAACATAAACCGTCATTTTGAATACTGATTTATTCCCAATTGTCCCCATTACCGGTTTATCTCAAATCCGGCAAATCCGGCCGGAATTCCGGCCGGAATTTTTGTCCAAATCCGGTAAATCTGGTTCCGGCCGGATTTGAAAATTCCAAATCCGGTGCACCCCTAGTCATATATAGAATAAAAAGGTTACATTTTATCTAAAATATGAATATACGATATTTCCACTGTAGGATAAAAGGTACTCTTCCTATTCCTGTGTGTGTTGATAGACGAAGTATAACCACGAGTAGCGAACGGGACAATGACTCTGCGGTATTGCCACTGGACTATTGTTTGCAAAACAGAGCTAGCTTTCGAGAAGACCGTGACAGCGACTCTCTGAATTCAAGTCCTGGGGCCTTAAAGGAGGTTACGTCGTCCAGCAACGTCCAACAGCCCGAGAACGATTCAACTACCGACGGTGAAAAACTGAATGGGTACACGAATAAATTGGCAGAGATACAAAATAGTAGTCCGGCAGTGGTATATAGACCGAAACAGGATATAACGGTACATATAGATACATCTGGGACAAATAGACACTCAATACGCAGGAACTCTATGGAAGAGATCAAGAGGATGATGGATAATACTTCTGAGGATGGCGATGACGATGAGAGACATAACGGGTTCCATTTGGATCACGGGGATAAATGGCCAACGTCATTTTGGACACAGTTTTTCGTTCTCAGTCACAGAACGTTTAAACAGTCGCTACCGATAATTTTATCAAAACTAAACTTAGTACAGGTAGGTACAAATAGTTGAATACGCCTGACGAAACGTTTAGGGAAATTGAAAATGTGAAACACTTCCATTTTGATACACTTCCATTTTTCTTTGATCTTCACCCCAACACTATTTTGCACGAAACATGGAGGACTAACCCAACTTAGATGATTATATTAGGCATTTATCATATTAATGTCCCCATTCAGTGCCTTACACAGGTGACCATCTGTTTGCTATTTCTACTGTATTAGAACTTGCTGTTAGCCATCATTATTGGTTTAATCTGGTTCCAAGTACCACACGAAGAGGAATCCATTAGTGACAGAAGAGGATTGGTATGTACAGTAATCAACACGACATTCTCAAGACTGTTCAGAAATTTCATTTTTGTTAAGCCTCTTTCTGCATGCTTGTATTTACTCATAGCATTTTGCAAACATAATTTCTATGCCCCATTCATACTCGATTACATCAGGGCTTTCAAAACAAGATGGCCGCTGCCGGGTGTCATGAGGTTTATCTTCCGGCTACTCCCTTTAAAATCTACATCCATCTCGTCTTTAAACAATGGCAAAGTGCAAGAAACAGTAAAGATTTCTGTTATCTGTATACTGATTGTATTCACTATTTTTAATTTCAGCTTTTCTTCTTTATTACTTATTGGAGTTTCAACCCTCTATTTCACGCATTGCTCACGTGTAAGTATGGAATGGCAGCAGCTTAACTAAACGAAAAGTTCTCACTCCACACTGGATTGCTTTTCGTTTCTAAAGTGTCCTTACTATAAACCGTAATTAATTTTCATTCGTTATTGATCTAGTCGCAGGAGATCCAGGCTCTATTTGCCCGCGCCCTCAAGGAAGTTGCAGGCGGGCGCGGGCAAGTAGAGCCTGGGTCTCCTGTGATTTGGTGCAACTACAGTACAGGCGGAAACCTTAACAAAAGCGCTGTAGCACGGAATAGCACTTGGAACCATTAGTCATGTGCTTTTGTTTTCTTGCAGTTCCATCGGAAGAAGTGATCATCCGCAAAGAACGCTCTGCCGGAAGCTACCGTCTGTCTGCGTATTATTTTGGCAAATGTTTGAGCGAGGTCCCATTGGTTGTCTGTTATCCAATCGTATTTTTGTTTGTGTTTTATTGGTTGTGCGGTCTCAATCCAAGTGTTGCCTTTCTTGGACAAGCTTTGACTCTGATCATCAATGCAATCTTAGCTCAGGTATTACATTGGTAAATTGGTTGTCACAGGTTCACTGTCTACTGACATTTGCCCCCAATCTCGTTCCCCGAGCCTGCGATCCTCAGGAAGGAACGCGAGACTCTGGGATAAACCGTTTCAGGGAGGAATCTGATTGGCCGTTGAAATGAAATGCGTAGTTCAATCTTAGCCAGGATTCCTGGCTTCCGGCAACGGATTATCCCAGAGCCTCGCGTTCCTTCCCGAGGATCGCAGGCTCGGGGAACGAGATTGCATTTGCCCCCGACTGTAACTGACATTTCACAGAATGAGTACGGCCGGAATCATCAAATAATTTTAAAGTGTTCCTTGAGTAAATAGAGCATAGTTGAGGAAACGTTTCGTCTCGAAGAAGACAACCTTTTCTGGCAAACCGCTTTCCGGGAATTTTCCGATTCGACCAAATATGTGTGTTCCATTTTCATTCTATTCGAAATTACCTGGATTTCTGTGTAAATGATAGACAACCCAGACAATCCAATACCTCGACTAACACTATAATTGTCATTTTAGTCTATTGGTCTAGCTATTGGTGCCACAGTAATGTCATTTAACAAAGGAATTGTGGTTGCTGCCGTCTCCATGTTGGCTTGTATGCTTCTGGGAGGTTTCTACACAAGAGGAGTACCGTTCTGGTTGAAATGGGTTCGTTACATCTCATTTCTCACTTACTCGTATGAGAATTGTCTCATTATGGAATTCACTGGCATTAAAGATCACAGGTTAGAAATGTGTGCAATGTGAAGCGGACTAAAAACTGCTCTAACAGCAACAACAGCAACTGAAAAAACAGCAACAACAACAACACCAACACCACCACCAACAACAACAACAACAACAGCAACAGCAACAGCAACAACAGCAACAACAGCAACAACAACAACAACAGCAACAACAACAACAACAACAGCAACAACAACAACAACAGCAACAATAGCAACAACAACAACAGTACCAACAACGACGACTACAACAACGCATACAACAACTACAACAACAACAACAACTACAATACCAATAGTAGCAATTATGTTTCAAATTATAGTTAATTAGGTAAATCTGTTATATGGCAATTTTCTTACTAATTTCTTACTGATTATTTAGTTGTGCTGAAAGAACGAGCTATGTAGAGTGCAAGAACAACGCTACTGTCATCACGGGCAGTCAAATTTTGGAACATTTTAATATCTCGAGAACATACGGCGAAAACCTCGCAATTCTAGTTGTATTTATTGTTGTATTTCGAGCGATTGGATATTGTTCATTAAGGTTCTTACATAAACCCAAATAAATTAATGCTTGCAAATTATTGCTGAGCGTCACTAAGCACGATCATGTACTAGCAAATGGTAGCCACTTATCAGAGTTACAAATGAATGTTACTGTTTTTCATTGGTAACCAAATTAGCCACTTATCAGATGGCTTAAAGAACGACCCATCTTCTGAGTTAAATTGGCGAAGTAATTTAAAAAACCAACGTTGCAACGTTGCGAACCGAGAAAGACGTCAAAGGATCAATAGGATTTTTTATCACATATGAAACCACTGACATGGTATTTCCTTTGTCTTTTCTTCATGAATTATTAATGATTTTTTTAAGGGTTGATAAACAGAAGAGATTTAGCCTAATCATCTTTTAACATTGTCAACATTTCTGAAATTGGCCACTATCTGCTGTCTCATGACGCTTATTTAAACCCACTAATGTATACCATGCAAGATAGTCTGTAGTTGCCATGGAGACACAAGGACATACCCCCACTGAGTTCTGTTGTTGTTTTGTAACCGTTTCATAACATGGGACACTTACATAGCTTAGCTTAGGTTAGGAGAAAACCATACTCTGATGCACTCATTAAAGGTAATAAACAACCAAATGGTTTTAGAAATAAAAAATATAGTAGAATTATTTGAAAGTTTAAACATAGAATTTATATTATTTGTAATATATAGAAATTATTATTAGTCATCAAATATATTTGTGTGCATTCGTGTATTCTGAATAGTTATTTGGGGTGTACTCATCAGCTGATTGACCAGATTTAGTAAAATATTTTACTTTTGCCGTTTGGTAAAATTTTGTCAACTTAGAAAAATTTTGTCTTAAGGCGGTTTTCTACTAGGCGAAATTTTTCGACCGAATCGAAATTTCTCTTTGTTTCATGAGCTGTCAAGCAGAACTAATTGTAAAAAGACAAAGAAATTTCGTTTCGGTCGAAAAATTCCGCCTCGTGGAATCAGGCCTTTAGTAAAATTTTGGTGAAATTTTTAAATAATTCACAGTTTTGGTACAAATTTGTGTTTGAATGGTATCCTGTGTAATAGAGATACTAAAAGCAATTCAGGAAATTTGTCTAGACTGCAAAACCCATTAATTAGTGGGTTTTCATGCTAACCTATAGTCAACCCTAGTTGCTTTTCTCGTATTCTTGGCTAAGCCTGGTTTCCATATGGTCGTAACGGTCGTAAAGATTGAGTCACGATCGTTCTCATCAGCCGAAATACAACATTTTGGAAGTGAAAATACGCCGAGTGATTATAACTAGAGAATACTCGTGATATATATGTGGTTTACAGGTATAAACTATTCTAAACTGGCCGTAGAGAAAGATCGTGAATCTAACACCATAAAAGCATGCGACTCTTAAAACATCATTCCAAATTTCGTTTCTATTTATTTCGTATCAATACCAATATATTACTACAATACAAAAGACCACAGGTTCATCAATCCGGTGAGGTTACTCTACAAGACTTTGCCCAAAGGATATCATTAATGGCTTTTATAATACAATATCAATCACAATCTTTGCCAACACACCAAGTTTACACTTTGTGATTTGTCATGTCGATTTCAGGTTCTGTCAAATGTTAATAACGGTTGATATCTGTCTGTTGCAACGTGATCAAGTCAAATTTTCCAGATATGAATAAGGTATAAATCCACCTGACAAATCACAATGCGTATAAAGACTGGTTTGCACTATCAAAAGTTTCTGTGATCACAGTAGGAATTATGAAAAGGTAAATTCTACGTTTTGAAGGATTTGTAAGAAATTTTTGAGGGAACTGAATCACTGTTTAACATTGAGTTCTTATTCCCTCAAATATTTCTTACAAATTCGTCAGAACTCAGAATTTACCAACGCAAAATTCCTACTGTGATCACAGAAATTTTGACCATGTAAACCAGCTATAAACATAGCGTAAATGTGAGATTTTACGCTTGTTTGTTTCCTTAGTCAAACTATATATTGATGGCACAGACTGGATCAATATTTCCAATAGAAAGCGAATATACATGATGGTCTTGTCAGCCATGAATTTTGTCTTGCTAGAGGCAAAATATTGGGGGGAGAGGGACGGATTTAAGTTGCTACTTTGCTTTCAGAAATTATTGGCAGGGGTGGGGCAGTATTGGATATTCATGTTGACAAAAACATCACATATTTTAGCTCTCTGATAATTTACAATTCTGCAGACCTTTATACAACACTAGTGCTTGCTAAATTTATGTCACAGCCCAATTGTCTTATGTTTCACAAGTCATATTGTCTAAGTATATTTTCCAACTTGTTGCCAACTAGATGTTATTGCATCATTAATACTTGCTGTGTTGTATCGAGATCCACTGCTTGCTGCTTGGAAAGCAACAAGCATTTACCTAAAACAAAAAATGAATAAAATCGTTGCTCCCTTCATGGCAAACATGATTTCAATTTTTAATTTGTTACAGTACCTTCCTCATCCACCGCCTGCCATAGGTGGGGGACTGGGTCCACCTTAACAAAAAAAAATCCATGTTCAACACACTTGATAGGGGATCAGATGTAAAGGTAGAACTTTCTCCTCGATAGAGTAGAAAGTTGGACATTTAGTAGAGGTCCAACCATGGATTGCAACCCAAGTCTATCAGATTGAAAAGCAAGTGTGGTGACCACAATACCATAACAGCCTTAGCCTGTGCTAATTAAATCATTCAAATGCACCACACAACAAGTTTCATGTCAGAATAGAGTCAATAGACAACATGTTCATCTGTGACTGTTTATTCTTAAAAATAGACCACAAAAAGTAGAAGATTGACTACCTCCTCCGCCCCCAATCCGACCCATGCGTCTTCCTGGTGGCCTCGGTGGCCTAAAAGATATGAAGTTTACAGTAAGTTTATGTTACAAGTGACTGACACTGCACATTAATTAAGGTTGAAATTAATACTTATGTTGTCGTCATATCAGTCTAATGCAAATCGTGGCAGCTTCTTACCCTCCTCCTGGTTTTGATCTATAATCTGATGTTTGTGACACTCCATTCTTGCTCATGTCAGGCTAAAAAATAACAGTCAAAATTTTTGTACCTATCGAGGTTAAGGTGGAAGGTGGTGGGCAAGCCCGGGGGAAATCCCGGGTGGGGAATCCCCATGGCAGTGGTTATGCCTGAATCAATTCTCTCAGGGTTGTCGAAACCACCCCCCCCCCCCCCCCCC